AAAAAATATATTTTTTTTAATTGAGGAACAAAAAAAAGTATATAAAAAGGTTGAGAGACTAAAAAAGTGTATAAGAAGTTGAGGAAAAAACTGGGCAAAACTCCAAAATTAAGGGACCAAAATTGGCTTTTAACATTTCCAAATCCTGAGATCTGTCACCCAGCCCTTAAAATTTCCTAAGGTTAACGACAATTTCAATTTGAAAAGGAGCCGGCTGTGGCCCCTTTCTTAGTCTTCAGACTCTTCAGCTCCCAGCACCTTCAAACTTTCTTCACAACTTTTTTGAATCCGAGCTATGGATTCCATCATCGTCTTTGAGTAAGAATCAGAGTTTTTTTCTTTTCCTCGTCAGGAAGTTCAAGCTTGCAGATTCAACAATGTCGAAAGATGTTTTTGTTGGAACAAATTACTTGAGATTTTGGTTAACCAACTACAAGATTAAGAAATTAATGAAATAAAAAAAATGCATCACCACAAGAAAGATAGAATTTACGTGGTTCAGTTTCAATTTAATTAAACTTACGTCCACGGGCACTCACAAGGAAAAATTCACTATTAAAATAGGGAGATACAATTTGTGGTACTCTCAGAAAAATACCCAATTCCCAATTACACCCAAATCTTATTCATAGTATTTTTGAATGTGAGACACACTCAAAAAACACTCAACAAAGTAATTTTAACCACTCTACTCTTGCTCACCCTCACCCAAAGCACTCACAAAACTCTTGTGTTTTCTAGAGCTCACTTTGTTTTGGATTGCTCTTCTTGGTTTGATTTGCCGAATGGCCAAATGGTCTTTTATAGCCAAATGCCAACCACCCACAATGAATGCAATGGGCTGCAAAGTCATAATCCAACCATGCACAATAAATGTTGCATGGACAAAGTTGCAGCAACCAAATTTCCATTTCAAAGGCTGCCATGAGACTTCCAATTTTCAACAAAATTGGGCTGTCATGAGATTTCCCATGCAACCAAATTTCAAAGGTTAAAATTTGCATGCTTTTTCAACCACCATGCAGGACACACATGTCGCAACAGTTTCAAGTTCTCGATTCATTTCCCAAGATGCGCGGCATGAAGCGAATGAGAACAAGTTTGAATGCTCGCTGAATCAAGCTCATTTTCATCCTCTAAGAACTCCTCTCAATGCAATTGCAAATCCATTGCAGTGCGATGCCGATTCAAAAGATAAATACGAATCTAGTACAATGCATATGTTGGAAAGACATACGGCTTAGCAGAGCGACATTGAGTGATTCATTATATGTTTCAACATCACATTGGAACCAAAAGACTAGTTTATTAGTTCCATGGATCTTCATATTTATAAGCCTCTTTCTTTCTTTCTTTCTATATTTTTTTAATGTGGGATCTTAGTTCTTCACACTTACAAGGCAAACATACTTCAACTCCCCCTTTCACTTGTGAGTTGTGAAGCCCCCGGCCATCCAATTATTTTTCTTTTTTTGTTTTTTTTTGACATACATACATGACATGATCCATGGGTATACTCATCATGGGCACAACATCATCTAGGGGTATAGTCTTCATGGTTTACATAACCATACATTCTCACTTTGTTAAGTTCGGCCCAAGACTGAAATGATCATTGGCTGTGTTAAGCCATTGGCGTATGTCTTAGCGGGATGACATTGAGTGGTTTATTATATGTTTCAATACCACATTGGAACCAAAAGACTAGTCTATTAGTTTCATGGGTCTTCACATATATAAGTCACTCTTTCTTTCTGTATTTTTTGATGTGGGATCTTAGTTCTTCACACTCACAAGGGAAACATACTTCAACAGCATCATCATCGACTATCCAATCGAAAATCCGGATGTTAAACCTGAATCTGAGCATTGCTACTTAGAGAGGGATGAGTCGCCATGGAAAGGTGCATTCAGAGCCGAATTCAGCGAAGAGTACGCCGACGAGGAGTAGTTCAAGAGTTTGGCTAGGTGGAGTTTCTGCTGTGAGTAGAGTCTCTCAGGTCATCGAAGGGAGAGGCGGAGTGAACGCTGGCTCCTCTTCTAGAGTCTCGAGAGGGATTTCAATGATCGATGATTCTGATTTGTCCAATGATGTTCCACATTTCGAGCTGGATGAAGATCCTTCGTTTTGGACTGATCACAATGTCCAGGTCTGTAAATTAATTAGACTCCGGTTATTATTTTAAGTTGGCAACTAACAAAGAAGACGGAGAATATGAGTTATTTATTTATTTATTTGTTGAGAAAAGGCAAATGCGGAAAATATGAGTATTTATTCTTGTGCATTGGTGTATTTATTTTAAGTTATCAACCTCATTACTTGGTTACTATTTATTGTTGAGCATTTGTGTATTTATTTATTTAATTGATGACAAGTTTAGGTGTTGATAAGAATTCGTTCATAAAGTAACGTGGAAAGGGTTTCACGAGGTTATGGCCGGTGTTTGAGGCAGGAGAGCGCAGAGACTTTACTGTGGATCGGACCTCCTGAGCCTAGATTTACGTTTGATCATATTGCTTGCGAGACAATATCACAGGTACAGGTTCTGTATCAAGTAATGGCAGTGAAAAATTAGAAACATAACTTCCACTTTGATTTCTTAAGGAATCACAAGAATTTATTGAAATTTTCTGGAATTGGAAATTATTAAAATGTTTCAAAAAAAATGAAGCAAATTAGCAAATAATTGTATCAGCCCATCAGGTTCATTTAATTGTTATTGATATTATTTTCTAAAATTTAAGCTTTCTTTTTTGGCATTCTTTGTAACTAAAGAGAGAAAAGGGATGGCTCGCATGTATAGTTATCTGTAGTTGCTTGATTTCTGTGTAGAAAAAGCTATTCAGGGTGGCTGGCTTGCCCATGGTGGAGAATTGTATGTCTGGTTATAATAGCTCCATGTTTGCTTATGGTCAAGTAAGTCATACTCATACTGGACTTGTTCATGTTAAGTTTTTCTTCTTATATTTCTTTGTAAACTATCTTGGATAGGCATTAACTTCCTGGAGACTTTTACACAAAGAAGTTGATTCTGGACCATACCGGCCGGTATGGCTGGTACGTATCGGTTTTTTAAGTTGACTGAAATAATATAATATTAATTTTTATTTTGGTCAAAATTTGATCATTTTGATCAAAATCTGATATGCTGGTCAAAATTTCAGTGTACCGGTCGGTTCACTGAAATTTCGGCCAGCACACACTGGCAAATTTAAAAAAAAAAAGGGGATTTCTTGGCCCAAAACGACGTCATTTTGGGCTAGGGTCTTCCTGCAATTGCAATTTCCTTCCGGTACACAAAAATCGTCCGTACAACTCAATTCAAATTTTAAAAAAGTAAATTTCATTTTTGGTCTTTAACTTTTGATCTTTTACATAATTTTCATCTTTTAACTTTTTTATGTACTTTTTTAGTCCATTCTTCATTTTTTTTAATCCTTCTATCAATTATTTTGTTAAATTTATCTAAATATACACATTTTTAGTCCCCTAATTTAAAATGATTGGAAGAAAAATATGCCTATATTAGAAGTTGATAGACTAAAATGATTATTTTAAACTTGTTTTCAATTTGCAAAAATATGATAATTTTAAATATTAGTATCCCTTATCTTATTTTAAAATTTGATATTTAATTTATAAAAATATATATTTATAGCGATAAATCCGAAACGGTATGTAAAAAATTTTGATATTCGGTACGTACCATTCCAGTAACAAAATTGATACGCATACCGGTACAGTATTGACTCCCTTTCTTTTACATGCAGACAGGTGGTGCCAAAACATACACTATGATGGGTGAGATAAATGAGGTAGAGGGCAATCTCAATGAAGATTGTGGGATAACCCCTTGTATATTTGAATATTTATTTTCAAGGATCAGAAAGGTGAGATGCATGATTTTTTACTATGTTTTTGTTAATTTTCGTTTTATGTTTGCTGGGATTTTAGGCAGGAAGTATCTCATTTGAATTGGTAATCTTAGGAAGAAGAGAACAGGAAGGATGAGAAGTTGAAGTTTAGTTGCAAATGTTCCTTTCTGGAGATATATAATGAGCAAATTACAGATCTATTGGAGCCTTCATCTACTAATCTGCAGGTAATTAAGGGCTTTCTACTTGATTCATAGTGGTTGATGGATCCTCATTGGAATTTAAAGGTCATAAACCTGACTTTCTTGTTGTCGCTCAGAGAAGACTTGAGGAAGGGAGTATATGTGGAAAATCTTAAAGAATATAATGTGCGGAATGTAAATGATGCGGTGAAGCTTCTGTTGCAGGTGAATTTAATGGTGATCACATATGCTTCTATGGTAGTTTCAATGAATTAATGTGAACATGATTGTTGTAGTTTTGTATTTGTTTCACACAGGGTGCTGCAAACAGAAAAATGGCTACAACCTATATGAACAGTGAGAGCAGCCGTTCCCATAGTGTCTTCAGTTGTACCATCGAAAGCTGTTGGGAGAAAGATTCTGCGACCGACTTTAGATTTGCGAGGTTAAATTTAGTGGATTTAGCTGGTTCTGAAAGGTAACTGTTTTTTCTATCTTAAACCTATTCTTTTTGTTTCCCCAAATTCTGAAATAACTTGCTCAGTATTCAGGCAGAAAAGCTCTGGTGCAGAAGGAGATCGTCTGAAAGAAGCAGCAAACATAAACAAATCCTTGTCAACTATAGGGTGAGTTAAGTCTGAGACTTATTTCCTTCAGTCGTGTGGTCTGAGATATTGCGGCCTCTCTTTGATGATTTTTTTTCCTTCCTGTTTCGTCGCACATTGTGCTATCAATGTTAAACATTACTTTCAATTGTACAAATTTCATTATTTTATGACACCAGTTTCATTATTTTATGATATGTCTTATTGGAAAAGGGAAAGACACCTCATTTGTCAATGGTCAATTTAAATGTTGAATAGGCCCAAAGTGCTTCTTCCCTTTGACATTTAAAAATTCAGATTTAGTCATGTTCTTTTTAGCTCCTTTTCTATTTAATATAATTACATCCAAATACAACTTAAGTATAAAATTAGTTAACCTTTTGGTCCTTTTTTTTTTTTTTTTGGGATAAAATGTAAAAATTGTATTTATCCAATAAAACTATTTTGTAGACTCAAGCAACAGCTGCTGCTACAATCAATGTATAACTGCAGTTTTCAAGAATATCCTACTGCTAATATTGCATTGGTAACTGTATAATTCCTTCTAGCCCCCATTGCTTTGCTACAGACATGGGTAGTGATGAAGAGTTTGGCTTTGCAAAGCTCAAAACCTTATTTCTAACATTGAATTGAATATCATGTATAACCTGCAAAATAGATTTGAATTGTTGCCTATGGACTCTACTATTTCTCTCCCTCCAAACGTAATAAACTGTAGCATTTCAGGCCGGTTTAACAAGGATACAATACAAGGATTTCCTCTTAATCCTCTTCCACATCCAGGCCAATAAACCTTGCCAAGAGCAGAATAAGGGAATTCCTGTCATAACACATATAGCTTGCCATACTTGCTTGGTAAAATGACACTGAAAAAACAAATCAGTGCTTGTTTCCACACCTGTTTTATAGAATAGGCAAGTTTCATCAATAGTAAGAGTCTACTTCTTCTACCGACTTCTTATTAACAGTCTATCCCAGAGTGCTACCTAACAAATGAAACTATGCTCAAGGATTGCGTAAGGAAACCATAATAATCTGTGCCATGGAACCTTCAACTGTTTTGCTCATAGGGAATGCCATGCATTACTTGTCTTAAACACTCTTGAGGTAGAGGCAATCCAAATAACTAAGTCCTTCTCCTCACTCTTGGGATATAGAGTGTCAAAAAGGGCCGTCTAAATTTGTACTAGTTGTGGGGAGTGAGCAAGAGGCCAATTTCAAAAATTGCCATTTACCATTGCAAAAACTTTGGCAAATAAATGCAGACTTGAGTCAAGAACAATTTTAGTTCTATATGCTATAATTAATGGCCCTGTAGGATGCCACTAGTCATGCCATAAAAAATTATCGATGCCATTACCTAGTACATGTTGTATTAAGCCTCCAGCATAGCATCAAAGCTTGAGAATTTTCCTCCATTCCTAAGATGAGTTAGAAGGAATGTTCATGTACTAGAAACTCTTCCCTTTTAGTAGGTACTCCTTAACCCAAGCAACCCAAATAAAGCCTGCCTTTGTGAAAATCATCCAAATGAATCTTAGTACACATGCCTTATTCCAATCAGCAAGGCTTTTTAATCGTAGGTCACCTTCTTGTTTAGGGAAGCACACAGATTGCCAACTAACTTTAGCACCCTTTGCACTTGTTGTTGAGCCATTCCATAGAAAAGCACTACAAAGCATTTCCACCTCCTTGATTACTTTCTTGGGCAAGATAAAAGTGGAGCACCAAAATGTTGTAATACCCTGAATAACAGGTGAAATTAACTGTAATCGACTAGCAAAACATAAGTGTTTTGATGTCCAAGGGTTTTCATTCTCTTAGTGATGTTGGATACCAATGGCTTAAGATCCTTCTCTGTTAACCTTCTGTGATTAAAGGTACTCTTAGATACTTGACAGGAAGTGTACCAATTTTGAAGCCATAGGTTGAGGCAAGATGTTGTACCATGCTTTGAGGAGTACCACAACAAAAAAGTTCTGACTTTGCATAATTCACCTTTTAAGCTAGAAACAGTATAAAAGTCCTTCAAAATATCATCAACAGCAGCAAGAGAGGATATCTTCCCATCTGTAAAAATGACAAGATCATCAGCAAAACAAAGATGAGTAAGATTAACCTTTGCACACTTAGGATGGTAGGCCAGCGCCCATCCAAAGCAGCGTTGTTAAGCATTTTGGAGAGGACATACATGCAGATTACAAAGATATATGGTGATAGGGATCTCCCTGTCTGATGCCTTTCTTCCTAGGGGAATATCCCACAAGATTACCATTAAAAGCTATAGAGAATCTTTTGGTCCAATGCTCATTTTTTTAGACTGGTCATAATGCCTCTAGTAGATTTGGCACACGGGAAGCACAGACATGTTCCATATAGAGATTCTCGACTGATATTTCTGCTTCAGGTTTGATAATCAAAGCTCTTCTAGAAAATTTTATTAACTTGACATGTTTCACGAGTTTGAAAATGTGTACTTGGGATGCAGGATTCACTAGGTGGAAACTAAAAAACAACCATTATTGCAAATGTCAGCCCCACCATTTGGTCTGTTTAAAAAAGTTTTTCTTTGCTTGATGAGCTGTATAGATTTCTTGTAAACCCTTCCTTTCTCTTCTATTGGTTTCTATTTTTATGTAACAACTAATGCCCTTTTTTCCCTTGGATGCAGTGCTGCACATGAAACACTAAGCACTCTGAAGTTTGCCCAGCGTGCCGAACTTATTCAGAATAATGTACTTGCTTTAACCTTTCAATATAATATATACACACACATCAATAGATGGGTGCATGCACATACACTCATTTTTTAAGTACTTCAGAAGCCATATGAGTGTTTGTTTAACTTTTTTTTTTCTTTTCTTTTCTACAGGCTATGGTAAATGAAGACGCATTAGGTGATGTTACTGCACTGCAGCGCCAAATTCAGAAGCTAAAGGTAATTGATTAACCAGAGATTTTTGTTAATTTTATCTTTTAAGCTGGATAGACTAAGATGCTAAGCTCAGGTGTTTCTCATTCTCAAATAGGGTCAGTTGTCCTCCCTAATGAAGCATCACAACCTCACACACTCTCCATATGGTTGTGTGCCAAGTATTGGAGAGTCAAAATCTGGTGACTATTGTGAAAATTATGAATATTCTAGAGAAAGAGCAACAGATAATTATAAGGTAAAAAAGTCCAATGCAAGAAAGTGCAGTTTGTTTCCATGAAAGATCACTCAGCGTGATTTTTATGGTTTCAGCATCTCATTGCTTATACTTGTATTAGATGAAATGCATGGAGATGGAGGCTACTTTGATTGTTTCTTTAAGAAGAGAAAAGGAGGCACAAATTGAGCAAGTAAAGAGCTTGGTAAGTTTGATTGGAGGGAAAAATTAAAATTCTTCTTTATGAGGATAGCTATCAAGAACTCTAGTAGCAATCTTTGCCTGGTATGTTTTTGTTCAATCATAAGCATGAAGGTGAAATATTTAGGTCTACCTGGGGAGGGAAACTTGGAATTTAGGGAGGGAAAATTGGGAATTTGTGGAGGGAAGTGAAAAAGTATACCAACGGCTGAAATTAAAAAGAAAAAAAATTGTGTTTAAGAAACAATGAATTATACAAATAGAATAGGCTAATCCATCTGTATAAATAGACTTGTATAAATGAATGATGCTTATCATTAGAATAGATAGACTCTATATAGACGAATAATTAGTAAACCATTTGTATAAACTCAGTTTATACTAATGGATATATTTTTCTGTCGGTATAGACTAGTGTATACTGACTGATTACATTTTCCATTGGTATACATGGTTTATATAGACAAATTTCTACCTGTTAGTATCAACTGCCATTGGTGAAGGGCATTCTGCTTGTAGTGTTTGAGTGTGTATTTTTCTGTTATCTTTGTTGGTACTGAGAGCATTTGCTTATATGATCTCATGATAAGTGTAATACATGTTAGAAAAAAGTATGAGAAGAAAACAGAAGGATTAGAAAGTTTTGGGGCGTGATCTCACTTTCTTTACAAATTAATTCAAAAATCTTTCAAGATATAACAGAACTTATAAACTCTTTCAAAATTAGGTATAAAACATGAACTTTGTTAAAGGAATTTACATTGTTTGAATGAATATCAGGTGAAGTATTATGTCTCTGCAGAAAGACAGCTGCCAAAAGAGATGTGTCCCTACAAAAAAGACACCATTATGAAAAGGTGCCTTTTAACTACCAAAAGTCATGTTTGAAATTCAAACCTTCCCAACCATGATTTTTTCTAGGCATTTTGCTTACAAAGCTAGGATCATTCAGAAAATAGATTCTTATTCGAAGAGTGCATAACCACATGGGTAAGCTCACACTAACTCCTTAAGTTGTTGGGATCCAATTCGGGATTTTCTTTGAGAGGTATCAGCAAGGAATTAGAATGTAATAATATTGATTTATATACGTATAGATACAGAGGAAAATCTTCTCTTTTGAGGATCTTTGCAATTTTCAAAAAATTAATTAAATTAAAAAAATTCAAAATTAACTAAAAAATAAATTTCCTTCTAGTAGGTCAAAGTCTCAAGTACTCATCAAAATGATAATATAAATGTGTTGGAGAAGAAGATTAGTTCCTTGTGCACAACATGAAGGAGGAAGCCAGTCTAATTCTAAGTAACAAGTCCTTATGCATAACAGGATAGTTGGCATATCACTAGCTCTGTGCCTTCTATTATGCATTTTTGCTATTACATTTCTCTACAGAGAATTGAATTGTCTAAAATGAAATGGTTTCTCTTAGGTGTGTGAAATGAATGAGGAGTTGGACCGGCATCAATTGATCAGAAATTCGCTAGAACATGAACTCCAGGTTATGAGCAAAAGATTGTTGACACTCGAAAACTTCACTGATGTTGTGGATTCGTTCAATAGAAATGCTGGACATAGTGAAGATCAGATATCTAGGTCAACATCTCTCATCTCTTTTCTTTCCCGTTATGAATTCCATTTTGTTGATTCTAATTCTTTTTCCACAAGATGTGGAAACTAGCTTTGATGCTGATAAATGCAAAACAGGTTGTTGGAACTTCATGAGGTTCATGATAGGGTAAGAATTTTAGAGAAGGAAAAGCAAACTCAGTAGCGAGGTG